AGTATTCAATATTATTGAATACTAGAATAGTATTCAATATATTGAATACTATTGAATACTAGATTCAATAGTATTCAATACTAGAATAGTATTCAATATTATTGAATACTACAATAGTATTGAATATTATTCAATACTATTGAATAGTATTCAATATTATTCTACTAATATTAATATTGAAGAATATTATTCAATATTGAAGAATATTCTTCAATATTATTGAATATTATTCAATATTATTGAATATTATTCAATATTATTCAATATTATTCAATATTAGTATTAATATTATTCAATATTATTTAATAATATTCAATAATATTGAATAATATTCTTCAATATTGAAGATTATTCTTCAATATTATTCCTATTCCTATATTGAACAATATTCTTCAATATTGAAAAATATTCTTCAATATTGAATGAATATTATTCAATATTGAAGATTATTACTCAATATTTAAGAATATTATTCAATAATTAAGAATATTGTTCAATATTGAAGAATATTCTTCAATATTGAGGAATATTCTCTAATATTGAAGATTAATAGTGAAAAATATTCTTCAATATTCAAGAATAATTTAAGAATATTCTTCAATATTCATCTTCACAACTAAATACTATTCCAAAATATTCATTAATAATCATCTAAACTATATTATTTATTTTTTATTACTTTTGGATAATATTTATTTCCAATATTTAATATATTCAAACACAGTACACATATTGAATAGTACACATCTATTGGGGCTACATATTACAATACACATCTATTGAATAATACAGTACACATATAGTGGGGGGGGGGTACAGTACATATCTATTGGGGGTACAGTACACATATAGGGGGTACAGTAAACATACTAGTGGGGGGGGGGGGGGGGGGGGGGGGTACAGTACACATATAGTGGGTACAGTACACATCTAGTGGGGGGGGGTACAGTACACATCTATTGGGGCTACATATAGGGGGTACAGTACACATCTATTGGGGGGGGGGGGGGGTACAGTACACATATAGTGGGGGTACAGTACACATCTAGTGGGGGGGGGTACAGTACACATCTATTGGGGGGGGGGTACTACATATAGTGGGTACAGTACACATCTAGTGGGGGGGGGGGGTACAGTACACATCTATTGGGGGTACAGTACACATATAGTGGGGGATACAGTACACATCTAGTGGGGGGTACAGTACACATCTAGTGGGGGCGTACAGTACACATATAGTGGGGGATACAGTACACATCTAGTGGGGGGTACAGAAAACATCTAGTGGGGGGGGTACAGTACACATATAGTGGGGGATACAGTACACATCTAGTGGGGGGGTACAGTACACATATAGTGGGGGGGTACAGTACACATATAGTGGGGGGTACAGTACACATCTAGTGGGGGGGTACAGTACACATATAGTGGGGGATACAGTACACATCTAGTGGGGGCGTACAGTACACATATAGTGGGGGATACAGTACACATCTAGTGGGGGGTACAGAAAACATCTAGTGGGGGGGTACAGTACACATATAGTGGGGGGGTACAGTACACATATAGTGGGGGGTACAGTACACATATAGTGGGGGGTACAGTACACATATAGTGGGGGGTACAGTACACATATAGTGGGGGGTACAGTACACATATAGTGGGGGGTACAGTACACATATAGTGGGGGGTACAGTACACATATAGTGGGGGGGGGGGTAAAGTATACATCTAGTGGGGGGGGGTACAGTACACATATAGTGGGGGGGGGGGGGTACAGTACACATATAGTGGGGGGTACAGTACACATATAGTGGGGGGGTACAGTACACATATAGGGGGTACAGTACACATACAGTGGGGGGGGGGGGTTACAGTACACATATAGTGGGGGGGGGGGGTACAGTACACATATAGTGGGGGGGGTACAGTACACATATAGGGGGTACAGTACACATATAGGGGGTACAGTACACATATAGGGGGTACAGTACACATATAGGGGGTACAGTACACATACAGTGGGGGGGGGGTACAGTACACATACAGTGGGGGGGGGGTACAGTACACATATAGGGGGTACAGTACACATACAGTGGGGGGTACAGTACACATATAGGGGGTACAGTACACATATAGTGGGGGGTACAGTACACATATAGTGGGGGGGTAAAGTACACATCTAGTGGGGGTACAGTACACATCTAGTGGGGGGTAGTACACATTTAGTGGGGGGGAGTACAGTACACATATAGGGGGTACAGTACACATCTAGTGGGGGGGGGGGGTACAGTACACATATAGGGGGTACAGTACACATCTTGTGGGGGGGGGGTACAGTACACATATAGTGAAGGGGTACAGTACACATATAGTGGGGGGTACAGTACACATATAGTGGGGGGTACAGTACACATATAGTGGGGGGGGGGGGTAAAGTATACATCTAGTGGGGGGGGGTACAGTACACATATAGTGGGGGGGGGTAAAGTATACATCTAGTGGGGGGGGGGTACAGTACACATATAGTGGGGGGGGGTACAGTACACATATAGTGGGGGGTACAGTACACATATAGTGGGGGGGTACAGTACACATATAGGGGGTACAGTACACATACAGTGGGGGGGGGGTTACAGTACACATATAGTGGGGGGGGGGGGTACAGTACACATATAGTGGGGGGGGTACAGTACACATATAGGGGGTACAGTACACATATAGGGGGTACAGTACACATATAGGGGGTACAGTACACATATAGGGGGTACAGTACACATACAGTGGGGGGGGGGTACAGTACACATACAGTGGGGGGGGGGTACAGTACACATATAGGGGGTACAGTACACATACAGTGGGGGGTACAGTACACATATAGGGGGTACAGTACACATATAGTGGGGGGTACAGTACACATATAGTGGGGGGGTAAAGTACACATCTAGTGGGGGTACAGTACACATCTAGTGGGGGGTAGTACACATTTAGTGGGGGGGAGTACAGTACACATATAGGGGGTACAGTACACATCTAGTGGGGGGGGGGGGTACAGTACACATATAGGGGGTACAGTACACATATAGGGGGTACAGTACACATCTTGTGGGGGGGGGGTACAGTACACATATAGTGAAGGGGTACAGTACACATATAGTGGGGGGTACAGTACACATATAGTGGGGGGTACAGTACACATATAGTGGGGGGGGGGGGTAAAGTATACATCTAGTGGGGGGGGGTACAGTACACATATAGTGGGGGGGGGTACAGTACACATATAGTGGGGGGTACAGTACACATATAGTGGGGGATACAGTACACATCTAGTGGGGGCGTACAGTACACATATAGTGGGGGATACAGTACACATCTAGTGGGGGGTACAGAAAACATCTAGTGGGGGGGTACAGTACACATATAGTGGGGGGGTACAGTACACATATAGTGGGGGGTACAGTACACATATAGTGGGGGGTACAGTACACATACAGTGGGGGGGGGGACAGTACACATATAGTGGGGGGGGTACAGTACACATATAGGGGGTACAGTACACATATAGTGGGAGGTACAGTATACATACAGTGGGGGGTACAGTACACATATAGGGGGTACAGTACACATACAGTGGGGGGGGGTACAGTACACAGAGGGGGTACAGTACACATAGTGGTGGTACAGTACACATATAGTGGGGGGGGGTACAGTACACATACAGTAAGGGGGCATAGTACACATATAATAAGGGGGGGTACAGTACACATCTAGTGGGGGGGGGAAGCCACCTGAATGTCCCTGGAGGTCCCTTGATGTCTCCTGGGGGCCCTTAGGATACCCCTAGAGGTTCATGGCGGTCTCCTGAGGCCCCTGAAGGGCCCCTAAATTTCCCTGGAGGTCTCTGGAGTCCCCTGGATGTTCCTGGAGGCCCATGGAGAACCTTGGATGTCCCTAGAGGCCCCTGGATGTCCGTGGAGGTCCACTGGAGGCCCCTAAAGGCCACCTGGAGGCCCTTAAAGGCCACCTGGAGGCCCCTAAAGGCCACCTGGAGGCCCCTAAAGGCCACCTGGGGGCCCCTAAAGGCCTCCTGGAGGCCCCTAAAGGCCTGTGGAGGCCCCTAAAGGCCTGTGGAGGTCACCAAAGGCTCCTGGAGCTTGCTGGAGGCCCCCCTAGAGGCCTCTTTGAGGGCCCTGGAGGCCCTTGGAGGTCCCAGGAGGCCATGGAGACCCCTAAAGATTCCTACAGGCCCCTGGAGGCTCCCCGAACTTCCCTAGATGTCTCTGGAGGCCCCTGGAGGTATCCTGAAGGCCGTCAAAATGAACCTGGAGGCGCCCTAGAGGCCCCATGAGGTCACTGGAGGCCCCTGGAGACCTCTAAAGGTTCCTGGAAGCCCATGGAGGCTCCCTGAAATTCCCTGGATGTCCCTGGAGGCCCCTAGAGGTCCCTGGAGGCGCCTTAGAGGCCTCTTGATGTCCCTGGTGGACCTTCGAGGTCCCTGGAGCCATATTTTGGAGCCAAATTCTGGCTCTCTGCACGTATTCGCAGTTTGAAATTCCTAATTTTTGCAACGAAAATATGCCAATTACTGAAAGCGGCGGTGGGTCACATTTTGCCCAAACCCCCCTGCAGTTTTCAAAATATTCCAAACATCCCAAATCCGATACCTGAGCCGTATTTTGTGGCGAATTTCTGGCTCTCTACACAGCACCCACTGGTACTGTCCCAGCACCCATTGGTACTGACCCACCACCCATTGGTACTGACCCAGCACCATTGGTACTGACCCACCACCCATTGGTACTGACCTAGTACACATCTAGGGGGTACAGTACACATCTAGGGGGTATACAGTATACATCTAGGGGGGTACAGTACAAATCTAGGGGGTACAGTACACATCTAGGGGGTATACAGTATACATCTAGGGGGGTACAGTACAAATCTAGGGGGTACAGTACACATCTAGGGGGGGACAGTACTAGGGGGGGTACAGTACACATCTAGGGGGGGACAGTACTAGGGGGGTACAGTACACATCTATGGGGGTACAATACACATCTAGGGGGTACATTATAATGACTAACCTTGGTGCACCAGTGGTACTTGACGGGCAGCGGTACAGGTACATCCAGGTTCAAGTTCCCTGACCAGATTGAAGCAAAGATACAGTCATCGCCCACCTGTACATTAACCTGTAATACAATGAAATATGTCAATGAATATTATTTATTCCCAAAATAGTGTTACATAAATAGATTTTACACATGAGGCATTTAATATATATTACATTGATTGAGGTTTATATATAGGTTGGTCTGGGAAGGGCCAGATTCACGAAGCAGTTACGCAAGCACTTACGAACCTGCGGTCAGATTCACCAAGCAGTTATGCAAGCACTTACGAACCTGGGGCCAGATTCACGAAGCAGTTACGCAAGCACTTACGAACCTGGGGCCAGATTCACGAAGCAGTTATGCAAGCACTTACGAACCTGGGGCCAGATTCACGAAGCAGTTACGCAAGCACTTACGAACCTGGGGCCAGATTCACGAAGCAGTTACGCAAGCACTTATGAACGTGTCCATCTTTCCTCTAATCTTTGACGCCTTTGGTTACATTTATTAAACAGTTTACAAGCATGAAAACTTGCCAATAAACTGTTGTTATTGTTATAAACAGCCTCCTGGTGCTTCGGAGCTCATTAACTGTTTAATAATTGTAAACAAAGCCGCCAAAGATTGAGAAAAGATGGACAGCTTCGTTGACCAGACCACACACTAGAAGGTGAAGGGACGACGACGTTTCGGTCCGTCCTAGACCATTCTCAAGTCGATTGTGTCGAATACACACACAATCGACTTGAGAATGGTCCAGGACGGACCGAAACGTCGTCGTCCCTTCACCTTCTAGTGTGTGGTCTGGTCAACATACTTCAGCCACGTTGTTGTGACTCATCACCTGCACTCACTGTAACTGTAACTAACTGTAACTCACACTGAAAGGTTGGTGGAGACTGATGGCAGGAAACTGGTCATCTTGTAACACTACTCGCTCATCACTCTCCCCATCCTGGTTACTGTCACCCAGTGTCATTCTCCTGTCACAGACAACACAGGACAGATTATGACAGGATTCCGTTATCTTGAGGATATCTTGAGATGATTACAAGGGTTCTTGCTTTCTGTGTGTGTGTGTGTTTACTAGTTGTGTTTTTGCGGGGGTTGAGCTTTGCTCTTTCGGCCCGCCTCTCAACTGTCAATCAACTGTTTACTAACTACTTTTTATTTTTTTTCCCACACCACACACACACACACACCAGGAAGCAGCCCGTGACAGCTGACTAACTCCCAGGTACCTATTTACTGCTAGGTAACAGGGGCACTTAGGCTGAAAGAAACTTTGCCCATTTGTTTCTGCCTCGTGCGGGAATCGAACCCGCGCCACAGATTTACGAGTCCTGCGCGCTATCCACCAGGCTACGAGGCCCTCTGGTAGTGTGTGTGTGTGTGTGTGTGTGTTATCTTGAGATCATTTCGGGGCTTTAGTGTCCCCGCGGCCCGGTCCTCGACCAGGCCTCCACCCCCAGGAAGAAGCCCGTGACAGCTGACTAACACCCAGGAACCTATTTTACTGCTAGGTAACAGAGGCATAGGGTGAAAGAAACTCTGCCCATTGTTTATCGCCGGCGCCTGGGATCGAACCCAGGATCACAAGTCCAGCGTGCTGTCCGCTTGGCTCCCTGATACACACAGTATTCTCAACTCATTTGCCTCTATTTACCTATATAATTGGAACTGACGCAATAATAGTTGTTTAATTTAGAGCTTGTGATGAATAATGCCAACTTGGCCTGTGATTGGCCAGAGGCTTCACTGACTGTTGAAGCATCACTACTTTACTCTATATGGAAAAGTTATTTATTATTAAACAGTTTATGTAACACGTTCCTAAATTACATATTTTAACTTCTCTATGGATATATATATATATTATATATATATATATATATATATATATATATATATATATATATATATATGCAGGTAGAGTGCATATATATGGTGGGTAGGTGCACTCTACCCACCTACCCATATGGTAGGTGGGTAGAGTGCATATATATATATATATATATATATATATATATATATATATATATATATATATATATATATATATATATATATATATATGCACTCTACCCACCATGAGAGTAAGGACAAGACAAGAACATATCGATGCCAACACAGAAGACAATGTCCAACATAACAGGCCAATTACACTGGAATAATCTTTGTGTTTGGATAGGAGATGCCTCGTATGGGCCAATAAGCCTTCTGCAGCCCCTATGTTTATCCCTTATGTATCCCCCCATGTTTTCACCTTCATTGTATTATCACCTGACATAATGCGGGTATAAAATCAACTAGTATTGTAAGATCTGTTCACTTGAGAATGAACCATGGAGGTTCGAAACGTCGTGCTAATTATACAAATAAGTGTAATACACTCTATAGTAAATCACTTCTTTTCTTCACCTTAAAAGTACGAAAATGAGTTTTGGAGAACTCCTATTCCAATTAAGCCCTGATGCTAAGAAAATAGTTAGAGGGATAGAAGCCCTAAACCAGAAAATAATAAATACAGAATATGCGGTCATATTCAATGAAACATATATATATATATATATATATATATATATATATATATATATATATATATATATATATATATATATATATATATATATATATATATATATATATATATATATATATATATATATATATATATATATATATTTAAAATTAATTAAAAATAGGGAAGGGAGTACCACCACTGGCTGGAAGAAGGGGGACCCATAGCCTCGGAGGAAACCACACATAACGCATTGGAGGGAATGTAGGTCCCCTCCAAATATATATATATATATATATATATATATATATATATATATATATATATATATATATATATATATATATATATATATATATATATATATATATACTTGTATATATATATATTTCTTCTTGTTATATTCAAGAGTTTTAGATACAATAACGAACTACATTCCCACTTCTAATTAAGTCTTACGAAAATATACTTGAAACCAAATACATTAATTTCAAGTTCTAATCACTATAACAACAATGGCTTTATACAATATACAATATTATACAGTATATTACTATACCTACTAGGGGGGAACCACTAACATGCGCCATTGTATATTGCATGAATAAATTTACTTCATTCTTATTATTATTGTTGTTATAAAATAAGAAAATTGCAGTTTGCTCTCAAGCTCTTCATTTGCCAAGAGCCTGTTACTCTGGAGGCCACGGGCCAGATTCACGAAGCAGTTTACGTAAACACTTACTAACTTGTACATCTTTTCTCAATCTTTAGCGGATTTGTTTACAATTATTAAACAGTTAATGAGCTCCGAAGCACCAGGAGGCTGTTTATAACAATAACAACAGTTGACAGGCAAGATTTCATGCTTGTAAACTGCTTAATAAATGTAACCAAAGCCGTCAAAGGTTGAGGAAAGATGGACACGTTCGTAAGTGCTTCGTGAATCTGGTCCCATTACTGTAGAACCTGTTTTACTCTTGAACTGTGTATCAGTAGGAAGTTAAGGGTAGAAGACAGTAATAACACGTTAATGGATCTTGAAAGTTAAGAGGGATTGAGGATAGATTTTGCTCTACTTTATCAAAGAAAAACATCAAATATGATGGACAGGTGGATTGAAATGGTAGACAAAACACTGAAAGTTGAAGAAATGAACAAATTGGTTCAAGTTCAAGTTTGTTTATAGAACCAAGAAAGAAATACATCTCAAAGGGATAGAGTAGCTTAGCCTATTTCTAACCCTTAAAGGGATAGGTACCAGGGGCCAGATTCACGAAACACTTACCCAAGTACTTACGAACGTGTACATCTTTCCTCAATCTCTGACGGCTTTGGTTACATTTATTAAACAGTTTACAAGCATGAAAACTTGCCAATCAACTGTTGTTATTGTTATAAACAGCCTCCTGGTGCTTCGGAGCTCATTAACTGTTTAATAATTGTAAACAAAGCCCCCAAAGATTGAGAAAAGATGGACAGGTTTCGTAAGTGCTTGCGTAAACTGCTTCGTGAATCTGGCCCCAGCACTGCAGACATGGACCAACAAATACTAACAATGGAATTAGCAACACAGAACTCTACAAATGAACTAGAAGCTGTCTGGATCACTAACAAGGATACTATGGACGGGGTCACAAATTTTGGGATACTCAAGGATTATGCTGACCAGACCACACACTAGAATGTGAAGGGACGACGACGTTTCGGTCCGTCCTGGATCATTCTCAAGTCGATCAAGTCACAATCAACTTGACAATGGTCCAGGACGGACCGAAACGTCGTCGTCCCTTCACATTCTAGTGTGTTACAATCGACTTGAGAATGGTTCAGGACGGACCGAAACATCGTCGTCCCTTCACATTCTAATGTGTGGTCTGATCAACATACTTTAGCCACGTTATTGTGACTCATCGCCTCAAGGATTATGATAACGACAAAGGTGACTATAACTAAACAAGGATTATGGCAGGGACAATGGTGATTGGATATTCAACAAGGATTATGGACGTGAGAAACGTTACCATTGATTCGAAGAGAGGTTTGCCTGACAATCTCCTGCCAACCTTGACCTATGGGAGTGAAACATGAACATAGAATGAGACACCTGATCTACAATTCATGTTCTTCAAGCGAGTTACTGATGAGAGATACAAGTGGTATCAATACACAAGGAGGAATAAATATGAGCATACAGACAGTATGAAATGCAGAGTATTAGACACACATGTTAACTATGAACAAAAATTTACAAGAGCTTGGACATGTGGAAGAGATGATAAAACAGATTCACAAGTAAACACGATAGTGTAGGGTAAGGGGTTATAGCATTAGAAAGTTTAAGGTAAGGGATTATAGCATTAGGAAGTTTAAGGTAAGGGATTATAGTATTAAGAAGTTTAGGGTAAGGGATTATAGCATTAGGAAGTTTAAGGTAAGGGATTATAGCATTAGGAAGTTTAGGGTAAGGGGTTATAGCATTAGGAAGTTTAGGGTAAGGGGTTATAGCATTACAAAGTGTAGGGTAAGGGATTATAGCATTAGGAAGTATAAGGTAAGGGGTTATAGCATTAGGACGTGTAGGGTAAGGGGTTATAGCATTAGCAAGTGTAGGGTAAGGGATTATAGCATTAGGAAGTTTAAGGTAAGAGATTATAGCATTAGGAACTGTAGGGTAAGAGATTATAGCATTAGGAAGTTTAAGGTAAGGGATTATAGCATTAGGAAGTGTAGGGTAAGAGATTATAGCATTAGGAACTGTAGGGTAAGAGATTATAGCATTACGAAGTTTAAGGTAAGGGATTATAGCATTAGGAAGTATAAGGTAAGGGATTATAGCATTAGGAAGTTTAAGGTAAGGGATTATAGCATTAGGAAGTTTAAGGTAAGGGATTATAGCATTAGGAAGTATAAGGTAAGGGATTATAGCATTAGGAAGTTTAAGGTAAGGGATTATAGCATTAGGAAGTGTAGGGTAAGAGATTATAGCATTAGGAACTGTAGGGTAAGAGATTATAGCATTAGGAAGTTTAAGGTAAGGGATTATAGCATTAGGAAGTTTAAGGTAAGGGATTATAGCATTAGGAAGTATAAGGTAAGGGATTATACCATTAGGAAGTTTAAGGTAAGGGATTATAGCATTAGGAAGTGTAGGGTAAGAGATTATAGCATTAGGAAGTGTAGGGTAAGAGATTATAGCATTAGGAAGTTTAAGGTAAGGGATTATAGCATTAGGAAGTATAAGGTAAGGGATTATAGTATTAGGAAGTGTAAGGTAAAGGGTTATAGCATTACGAAGTGTAGGGTAAGAGGTTGTAGCATTAGGAAGTGTAGGGTAAGAGGGGTAAGGGGTTAAAGTATTAGGAAGTGAAGGGTAAGAGGTTAAAGCATTAGGAAAGAGGACATATGACCAAGGCTGCCTGGAAACTTCCTATAGTAGTTTTACCTTTGAATGAGGGAACCCCAGAGGGGGGGAGGGACAAGATCAAACAAATTTACACACAAAACAAACAAAATATACCTGAAAAATAACTTTAGTTACTATTTCAAGTCAAACAGTAAACAATTATTTCACTGTTTATACTTCTAGACACAAATCCTAGTATCCCACTGACTTTTTTCTGAACATTTAGGTACTGATTTTTGTTTAATTTAAATTCCTACAATATGCATTCTTTGCATTCTGCGGGACTTTGCATTTATGATTCCCAGGTCTTTTTCGCAATCAGACTTTGCAATTTCAGGACCTTCCAGCTGATATCTTGAAACTCTAATCATTATTTCATGATCACATTATTATTATAATCCTATTATATCACAATTATCATTATAATTACCTACCCTCATAACCTTATCTTAGTCAGCACTAGACTGCATCTACCACTCTTTCGACCATTTCAAAAGCCTATCTAGATCATCTTGAGGCGAGACCATTTCAAAAGCCTATTTAAATTATATTGAGGTGAGACCATTTCAAAAGCCTATCTAGATCATCTTGTCGTGAGACAATTTCAAAAGCCTATTTAAATTATTTTGAGGTGACACCATTTAAAAAACCTATCTAGATCATCTTGTGGTGAGACCATTTCAAAAGCCTATTTAAATCATCTTGAGGTGAGACCATTTCAAAAGCCTATCTAAATCATCTTGAGCTGAGACCATTTCAAAAGCCTATTTAAATTATCTTGAGGTGAGACCATTTCAAAAGCCTATCTAAGTCATCTTGAGCTGAGACCATTTCAAAAGCCTATTTAAATTATCTTGAGGTGAGACCATTTCAAAAGCCTATCTAGATCATCTTGAGGTGATTTGGAGTCTTCCGAGTTTATTTCAAACCCAATTTTCGTATTATCTGCAAATTTGCAAATATTCCTGAAGCTAATTCACTTACATATATGGTTAACAAGAGAGGTCCCAGGACAGAGCCCTGAAGGACTTCACTTTCAACAGTTTCCCCACTCCGGTCGGCCGAGCGGGCAGCACGCGGGACTTGTGATCCTGTGGTCCTGGGTTCGATCCCAGGCGCCGGCGAGAAACAATGGCCAGAGTTTCTTTCCACCCTATGCCCCTGTTACCTAGCAGTAAAATTGGTACCTGGGTGTTAGTCAGCTGTCACGGGCTGCTTCCTGGGGGTGGAGGCCTGGTCGAGGACCGGGCCGCGGGAACACTAAAGCCCTGAAATCATCTCAAGATAACCTCAAGATAACTCTGACTTATCTCCATTTATACTAACTCTGCTTCATCTGATATGTAAACAAAGCTATCAATAAACAAATTATATAAATTAAACAGTAGTTATCACAATGATATCATACAAGAGTGCCACGATAACAAGTCAAGACAAGAGTGACTGTCGTGCATAGAAGATAGAAGATAGAACTTCTCCTACATAGAAGATAGTCATAAAAGTCATTACCTGTTCTCGAAGTCAAAATTCACATGGAAGATTTCTTGAGACGAGTCGCGTAAGATCTTCGCCTGGAAACTGACAGAAGGAACAGATAAGTATCAATCTCTCAATCACTCTCTTTCTCAATCTCTCTCTCTCTCAATCTCTCTCTCTCTCTCTCTCAATCTCTCTCTCTCTCTCTCTCTCTCTCTCTCTCTCTCTCTCTCTCTCTCTCTCTCTCTCTCTCTCTCTCTCTCTCTCTCTCTCTCTCTCTCTCTCTCTCTCTCTCTCTCTCAATCTCTCTCTCTCTCAATCTCTCTCTCTCTCTCTCTCTCAATCTCTCAATCTCTCTCTCTCAATCTCTCTCTCTCTCTCAATCTCTCTCTCTCTCTCAATCTCTCTCTCTCTCTCTCTCTCTCTCTCTCTCTATCTCTCTATCTCTCTATCTCTCTCAATCTCTCTCTCTCTCTCAATCTCTCTCAATCTCTCAATCTCTCAATCTCTCTCAATCTCTCTCTCTCTCAATCTCTCTCTCTCTCAATCTCTCTCTCTCTCAATCTCTCTCTCTCTCAATCTCTCTCTCTCTCAATCTCTCTCTCTCTCAATCTCTCTCTCTCTCAATCTCTCTCTCTCTCAATCTCTCTCTCTCTCAATCTCTCTCTCTCTCAATCTCTCTCTCTCTCTCTCTCTCTCTCTCAATCTCTCTCTCTCTCTCAATCTCTCTCTCTCTCAATCTCTCTCTCTCTCTCTCTCTCTCTCTCTCTCTCAATCTCTCTCTCTCTCTCTCAATCTCTCTCTCTCTCAATCTCTCTCTCTCTCTCTCAATCTCTCTCTCTCTCAATCTCTCTCTCTCAATCTCTCTCTCTCTCAATCTCTCAATCTCTCTGTCTCTCAATCTCTCTGTCTCTCAATCTCTCTCTCTCTCAATCTCTCTCTCTCTCAATCTCTCTCTCTCAATCTCTCTCCCAATCTCTCTCCCAATCTCTCAATCTCTCTCTCTCAATCTTTAACAACAATTTCAGGTGAACCAGGAATAATGTCTCAACAGAAATGTAACATTACTACAGTCCTTCGTACAGTTAAAATGATCCAGATTGACTAAACTCACAGTAAGTGTTTTACATCACAACATGAAAGTATATTGCTTGTAATTCAACAAAAATAAATAGGATCGATAACAATAATCTTAGTTCTTGATTAAATGATTCATTCTAAAATTGTGTACATTTTGAAACTAGAATGATGTAGCATGATAAAATTATAGAACATTATTTAAATTATGTGGAGTATATTTCTATAACATCAATTATGATAAGATATATGACAGTCAAGCTTGACTCATTATAGAATAACAATGTTTTTTGGGTGCTTTTTTATATTATTATTTTCTACCACAGACGTGGCCAGACATTTACAATGCTAACCAGGATATATCCATTTTCTACCACAGACGTGGCCAGACATTTACAATGCTAACCAGCATATATACATTTTCTTCTGTCCTCCATGGACAGGGTTAGAGATTTGTCAAACATATAGTTCAGACACTTATTGAACAACCACAGAAGGTGATCGTAGTGCTTTTAAAATATTAGGATAAGCTACATATGTAAATACATAGATACACAGATTTATGAATGCATTAATGTGAATTTATAATGGAGAAATGTAATCTTTTGTCTGTGATTTTTGGTAAACAATAACATTAAGTTTGAGAAGTGAGCTTATTTTATTTATTTATTTATTTATATATATACAAGAAGGTACATTGGGTTTGTGAGAATACATTGGATAGTACAGTATTTACATTCTTGTAAAGCCACTAGTACGCACAGCGTTTCGGGCAGGTCCTTAATCTAGCAGATAACTTTAAGTAGGTAATTTCAATCAGAATTGATAAATGAAAGATAAATTACAAGAGAAAAATGAGATGAGAGAGATAAGTAAGTATATTAAAGCACATTGTTATATTAAAGCTCTGATTGATTACATTGACAGCTTGATTAGTAATTTAAACAAGATTAATAGACACCATACAGCAGATTGACAGCACATATAAGACAGCAATGATCACAATGGTAAAGATGTTCAGAAGGACTTACTTGCGATGCTTATGTAAGACAAGTGTGGCCTCCACGTAGAAGATAGGGAAAGCAGGTGCCAGAATGGTGCCATGATATGGCAGTGCCTGTGACCTGACCCTCAGCAGCTTGGGCAGCATAGCCTTCTGAACTTTGACCTGATTGGCATACAAGTGCCACACAAGCGGTATGGCCATCCTGAAAGGAGATTTGTGTCATTATCTCTACTTGTACTGTACTGTGAGAGAGTCACAATAACGTGGCTGAAGTATGTTGACCAGACCACACACTAGAAGGTGAAGGGACGACGACGTTTCGGTCCGTCCTGGACCATTCTCAAGTCGATTGTGGAGAGTGGTCCAGGACGGACCGAAACGTCGTCGTCCCTTCACCTTCTAGTGTGTACTCACTTAGTTGTGTTTGCGGGGATTGAGCTTTGGTTCTTTGGTCCCGCCTCTCAACTATCAATCAACAGGTGTACAGGTTCCTGAGCCTACTGGGCTCTATCATATCTACAATTGAAACTGTATGGAGTCAGCCTCCACCACATCACCTCCTAATGCATTCCATTTGTCAACTACTCTGACACTAAAAAAGTTCTTTCTAATATCTCTGTGGCTCATTTGGGCACTCAGTTTCCACCTGTGTCCCCTTGTGCGTGTGCCCCTTGTGTTAAACAGCCTGTCTTTATCTACCCTATCAATTCCCTTGAGAATCTTAAATGTGGTGATCATGTCCCCCTTAACTCTTTTGTCTTCCAGCGAAGTGAGATTTAATTCCCGTAGTCTCTCCTCGTAGCTCATACCTCTCAGCTCCGGTACTAGTCTAATGGCAAACCTTTGAACCATCACCTTCTAGTGTGTGGTCTGGTCAACAGTCTGGGATGTGGAACAAACATAAAACCACCTTAACAACAACAAATTACCCACTTGCTAACAAACAGTAGTTGCGTGAGCTGAAGGTAGTCGTTCTGTGACAGTTGCTTCAAGGCAGAGTAGTTCTCGAACCACTGGTCCCTTTTGGTGTTCAACCCGCCAAACGTCTCTCGCATAGTGTTGATCAGAGCGTCCACGGTGTCCTGCGACGCTGCGGCCTGTCGGACACAACATTATCACTATATTGACCTCCAGACGAATATTAATCTTCAGAACAATCATAAAATGCATCAATATTGGATCAACCTGTTTCCATGCCAAGCCATGTGGTTTGATCAACATCTAACCTAACCTGACCTAACCTAACCTAACCTGACCTAACCTAACCTAACCTAACCTAACCTAACCTAACCTAACCTAACCTGACCTAACCTGACCTAACCTGACCTAACCTGACCTAACCTAACCTGACCTAACCTAACCTGACCTAACCTAACCTGACCTAACCTAACCTGACCTAACCTAACCTAACCTGACCTAACCTGACCTGACCTAACCTGACCTAACCTGACCTAACCTAACCTGACCTAACCTAACATCACGTAACCTGACCTGACCTAACCTCACCTGACCTAACCTGACCTAACCTAACCTGACCTAACCTGACCTAACCTGACCTATCCCAGCTGATGTTGACCAGACCACACACTAGAAGTTGAAGGGACGACGACGTTTCGGTCCGTCCTGGACCATTCTCACAATCGACTTGAGAATGGTCCAGGACGGACCGAAACGTCGTCGTCCCTTCACCTTCTAGTGTGTGGTCTGGACTTCAGGTGAAGTCACAGTGAGAGGTTGTGTTAACCGGAGCTCCTGAGTGTTGTTATATTATCATAGCAATATGGAAGTTGTAGTGAAGGACCTGGTGACTCTAGTGGGAGCCCTGAGGACAGAGTTGGACTCTCTGCGGGAGGAGGTGCGTCAGCTTAAAAAACAACGAGAAGTAACGAAGGAGGAGACCAGCAGTAAAGGGACCTCGTCTTGGAGAGTTGCGAAAGACAGGGGCCTTAAGAAGACTTTGATAAAGCCGCCTTCAAACGCCATAGCAACTTCAAATTCATTTGACGTTTTGGAGGACGAGTGCTGTGGAGAGACTGTGGATCGCGCAAAAGGGAAAGCAACGAAGAGAAAGGAAGCGCAGGCCCCTCAGAAAGTAAAGGAAGTACCTAAGCAAACATTAGTTGTGGGAGATTCCCAGATAAGGTATTTGGATAGAACGTTTTGTGCTAGAGATAGGGGGAACAGGTTAAGGGTTTGCTATCCCGGAGCTGGCATTGGTGATATTATAAACAACATGAATGATATTATGGCTGGTAATGGGAACAATCCCATTATTTGCATTAGCGTGGGAGGAAATGATGTTGGTCGAGTCAGGAGTGAGGAACTGATTCAGAGGTATAAAACAGCCATAGAGTTAGTTAGGAGCAAGGGAGGAATCCCGATCATATGTGGCATTCTTCCAAGAAAGGGAGTGGGAAATGAATGGATATCGAGGGCACTTGGTGTCAATTGCCGGCTGGAAAGATATTGCAAATCAAATGCAATATCTTTCATAGACAACTGGGAACACTTCTATGGAAGAAATGAAATGTATGCTCGTGATGGGGTGCATCTATCGAGAGCTGGGGTTGTTGCTGTTGCGAACTCGTTGGAAGAAGTGGTTAGAGGTGTTTGTTTGGGTTTAAACTGTTAGTAGATAGAGGTATGGGAATTGATTTGGAGGAAGGAGGTAATAAAAGTATGTGTTTGTGGGAGAAAGGAATTGGCAAAACGATCAGGGAAAGAGAAGGTCCGCAAAATAACAATTCACTTAGGGTATATTACACTAACAGTAGAAGTCTAAGAAATAAAATTAACGAATTAAATGCTCTTGTCTGCACAGAAAAAATAGATATTATTGCACTTACCGAAACGTGGATGAATGTAGAAAATAGAGAACTATTAGCTGAATATCAAATATATGGATTTAAACTATTTCACACAGATAGATATATTAGACGAGGAGGTGGAGTAGCCATATATGTTAGGGACAATTTGAAATGTAGTCTCAAAGAGGGAATCAAAATAGAGCCACACACAGAAACTATTTGGATTGAATTAAACGAAAAAGCTAATAATATTATAATAGGAGTAATATATAGGCCACCAAATTTAGACAGAATGGAAGCAAAGCATCTATGGGATGAAATATCTAGAGCATCTAGATCTAACAGTATTTATGTCATGGGTGACTTTAATTTTAGCGGAATAAACTGGTTGAACAAAACAGGGTATAGTGAAGCAGAAGATTTTCTAGAATTAATTGACGATTGCTTTCTTACGCAACACATAAAGGAACCAACACGGGAAAATAATATTTTAGATTTAGTGTTAACTAACAGGGAAACGCAAATTAATGACATCGAAATAGGGAGTGAGCTAGGGAGCAGTGATCACAAAGAAATCAGATTTAGCATAGAATGGAATAGACCAGTAGGAGAAAATTCTGTTAAAGTGCCAGATTTTCGAAAAGCTGATTTTAATAGCCTAAGAAATTTTTTGGGTCAAATTGATTGGAAAGGCTTGGGTATGGGGTGTGGGCCGGTCTTGGAGCGAGACATGAACCCAGCGATAGGTGACTTAAATGGGGATTTCGATGTGGATTCAATATATAACTTATTTAAGAATATTCTAAACAAAGCACAGGAACGTAGTATACCATACAAATTGAATAGATCGTATACTAATGACCCAAAGTGGATAACAAAGAATTTGAAGAACCTTATAGGTAAAAAGAGAGCTTGGTACAAAAGGATTAAAAATGGGGAGGTCACTTTAGAACAGGAATTCGTACAACTGGTTAGAAATGTTAAAAAAGAGATAAGGAAAGCAAAAAGAAACTATGAAGTTCGCATAGCAGGGCAAGCAAAGACAAATCCTAAAGGGTTTTTTCAGTTATATCGTACTAAGACTAGGGAAAGGATAGGTCCATTAAAAACTGAGACAGGTCAAATAACAGATAGTGATGAAGAGATGAGTAGTATTTTTAATAAATATTTTGTATCTATATTTACTAAAGAGGAACTTAACAATATGCCTTCAGCCGAACAAGTCTATGTGGGTGGGGACGAGGACAGGTTGACGAGTTTAGCAGTTACCAGGGAGGATGTTCTTAAACAAATAGTAAAACTCAAACCAAACAAATCCCCAGGGCCGGATGAAGTGTTTGCTAGGGTGCTTAAAGAATGCAAAGAGGAGCTTTGTGACCCACTGTCAACCATATTTAATAAATCAATAGAGTCAGGCAGAGTGCCAGAGTTTTGGAAAGTTGCTAATGTGATACCAGTTTTTAAGAAAGGAGATAGATCACTTGCGTCTAACTATCGACCAATTAGCCTAACGTCTATTGTGGGAAAGTTACTCGAATCTATAATAGCAAATAAAATTCGTCTTCATCTTGAAAAACATAAATTAATAATTGAGTCGCAACATGGTTTTATAAATGGCCGTTCATGTTTAACAAATTTGTTATCTTTTTATTCTAGCATTGTTGAGGCAGTTGATAGTGGTAAGGATTGCGATGTTGTATACCTTGACTTTAGCAAAGCTTTTGATACAGTGCCACATGAAAGACTGATTAAAAAAATAGAGTCTCATGGTATTGGGGGTGCTATATTAAGCTGGATTAGGGCATGGCTATACCAAAGGAAACAGAGAGTTAGTATAAATGGAATCAAGTCAGAGTGGGAAAATGTTGTAAGTGGAGTGCCTCAAGGCTCTGTCCTGGGACCTCTGTTGTTTATAATATATATAAATGATTTAGATTCAGGTTTGAGTAGCAACATTTGCAAATTTGCCGATGATACGAAAATCGGTAGGGAAATTAATTCGGAGGAGGACTCACTATCACTTCAAGTTGATCTAGATAGGGTTTTGAAATGGTCAAAGGATTGGCAGATGCAGTTTAATGCTGATAAATGTAAAGTTCTGAGGTTAGGTAATGATGATAGAGTTACAAGATACGAGCTAGATGGTGTTGTGATTGCGAAGTCGGATTGCGAAAGGGATCTGGGAGTTATGATTAGTAAGAATTTAAAACAAAAGGATCAATGCATAAATGTTCGTAATAAGGCAAATCGGACACTTGGATTTATTAATCGCAGCGTTAGTAACAAGACACCTGGTGTGGTTCTCAAGCTATATCTTGCTCTAGTTAGGCCCCATTTAGATTATGCAGTTCAGTTTTGGTCGCCATATTATAGAATGGATATAAATTCACTTGAACGTGTCCAGCGTAGGATGACTAAGTTAATTCCCCAAATTAGAAATCTTTCATATGAAGAAAGATTAACAAAGCTTAAGTTGCATTCACTGGAAAGGCGAAGAGTTAGGGGTGACATGATAGAGGTTTACAAGTGGATGAATGGACATAACCGGGGGGATATTAATAGGGTATTAAAAGTATCAACACAGGACAGAACACGAAACAATGGATATAAATTGGATAAGTTTAGATTTAGGAAAGACTTGGGTAAATACTGGTTCAGTAACAGGGTTGTTGATTTGTGGAACCAATTGCCGCGTAACATTGTGGAGGTGGGGTCCCTCGATTGTTTCAAGCACGGGTTGGACAAGTATATGAGTGGGATTGGGTGGTTATAGAATAGGAGCTGCCTCGTATGGGCCAATAGGCCTTCTGCAGTTACCTTTGTTCTTATGTTCTTATGGTCAACATACTTCAGCCACGTTATTGTGACTCATCGCCTGCATATCCCAGCTGATTACATTTCTTTTTCTAGATCATCATTTGATGATCTAGAATTTGGGGAAACTGGTTTTCACATGTCTCTCTCGCCATATTTTTAAAATACTTATCCACTGAGTAAAAGTGGCAAGATTAGTAAACATTTTAATTAAGGAACACTTGAAATAACATACAAAATTTACATATAAACACACACAAGACATGTATATACAGTAAGGGTATATATATATGTACCTGGGTGACATGTACACTTGCCAGAATGACCAGAATCACTACGGGAGACTTCATCTTGAGGCGTCAACACAGACTTGAGGAAAACGTCTTACTGTTGGCTGGTCTTTAAGTCCTGGAGGACCCTGGCGGGTTGGGATGATTCTGTGGGTGATCAGGGGATTGTGAGAACCACTACTGAGTGATAGTGACGGGTGGTGAGGCGCAGATGATAGCCGTCTAATCTACTCTCTCTCTCTCACCATACACCAGGTATCAAGGTGTGGGTTATCTTATCTGGTGTTAGGGTCAAGTGATATCTTCGAATAATTCTCAGATGTTATCTGTTGTGAAGGCTCCCCCACTGCCACTGTAACTATGCACCAGAGTGGTAGCTACAGTCTGGTTGTACAGCTCCACAGCCAGGGTTGTAGTCGTACAACCTTTTAAAGTACAACCTGAAAAGATCATGAATGCAAATGGGGCAACTCGTTCTCGCACTTTCTTACAGTCAATATTGACTTATTAAATAAGTGCATATGTGACATACTAATTTATTGTGAATATTTTAGTTTACCTTGAAAAGCTTCATAGAAAGCGCCGACCTTACCTAACCTTCTTAGTATGTTAAGATAAGCATCTTATTGCTTCGTAATTACAATTATTACTTAACCTATACCTATAATAACGGGTTGAATGGGGAGATGGGGTGTCTTCGACAAGCCGCCGGCTTCCTGCTCTCATTAAGGCCACTAGGGTTAGTGGCCCTCTAGTCAATTCAGGTAAATATAACACTATTAATTTATAATTGAGACAATGGCTATTTAGAATGAACAGGATGTTAAAATTGATGACTGCGTCTGTGGGGTCGACCGCCGGATGGAATGGACTTGATCTGAGGCACGGTTGTATATTATCTCTACATATACATAGACGTTTCTATTTTCTAACTTAAGTTAGTTACTCATTTTCTAACTATATATAGAAGTTTAATGTATAATAATGTTAATGAATGTATGAGAACGAGCCAGTTTTTAGTACACAATGTTAAAATTAATAAACGCGTCATGAAGGACGGCCGCCGCTCTAACGAACCTAGCCTAAGAACGGGTTCTGCGGGTCGCGTGAAACAGTTTATATTCATAAACAAGGGGCTTGGCGACTGGGTTAACGAGCATTTAGCCTGTGTTGATGAGGACGGGCTGAATCTGGTCTGTGGCACCACTCTTGGGGCTGGACGGTAGAGCGACGGTCTCGCTTCATGCAGGTCGGCGTTCAATCCCCGACCGTCCACAAGTGGTTAGGGCACCATTCCTTCCCCCCGTCCCATCCCATATCCTTATCCTTACCCTCTTCCCAGTGCTACATACTCGCTTTCTAGTGATAATGACCTTACGCGGCCAGAGGACATGTTCAAGGTATTAAAAATACCTCCAGTCTGCCCCAAAATGGCGCCGCTAGGGGTCGCCACAGACCTCTACCAACATTTTCAGCCGCCACCTGCATCGTCAAGCGACTTTTGACCTTCAAACATCATTATTTTACCCTTTATTATCAATATTTTTATGTCTGCAGGACTTCAGCGATCGATTTTTCCTTTTGGACTCGAAGGTTCGCCTCCGTGTTTGGTATTAAACGGCGTACTGGCGCCCATTGTGGCTCGTATGTTTACCTCATTGAAAATAAATAATGAGATATTGAGAAATTTAATGCCATGTATTAGCCTCGCCTACATACAATACAATTACAATCACTAACTGACATTCCCGAAACTTTTCGCTCGCTGTCGTTCCCTTACACGACTCAATACGTCAGAACGCCCACTACCGGCCGAAGAAAAAAAGAAACATAGAACAAGTGACCTTATCCTTCCATACCGTTTGAATTTTCAAGACAGATAATTATAATATTTAATCCACAACGGATATAGATGGTTTTTTTGGGTGGATAATACTTATATAAATAGACTTCCCCCTTCTATACTATAATTGGCCGCCCCTTGTGTGCGCTGGGACACTTACTATTGATATTTAAGACCTATTTTGTGCAGTGGTGAGGCGGAAGGTTATAGTGATCTGGGGCCAGATTCACGAAAGAACTTACGCAAACACTTACGAACGTGTACATCTTTCCTCAATCTTTGACGGCTTTGGCTACATTTATTAAACAGTTTACAAGCATGAAAACTTCCCATTCAACTGTTGTTATTGTTCTAAATAGCCTCTTGGTGCTTCGGAGCTCATTAACTGTTTAATAATTGTAAACAAAGCCGCCAAAGATTGAGAAAAGATGTACAGGTTCGTAGGTGTTTGCGTAAGTTCTTTCGTGAATCTGGCCCCTGACGTATAAGGTGTCTCACTATACTGTTTCCACTTCACTGTATCACTATTGTCCTGCTGTATGGTGACTGTCACTACACTAACGTTGTCCAGTTATTCAGACATAATTACGGGATCTCCATAGCCCGTGCTACTTGGAACTTTCAACATCAGACACAAAATAAACGTTTCCTGGCTATACAAGGAACGTTCATCACCACCTCCCCCCCCCCACACACACACCATCTTCACTATTCACCTACAAGCCAGCTAGCAAACCCGTCCTCAACTCAAGTCCATTCCATCCAGCGGTCGACCCCACAGACGCATTCATAAATGTGTACATGTTGTTCATTCAAAACAGGAATGTTCTCATATAAATTAATATTATAATATATTAACATTGTGCACATATAGGCATAGGTTAGGTGTTTAGGTTCTGTTGGCGATTATTTGTATTTGTAGTACGTGGGTGAAGCATTTACAGCGTTGTGATTCGAACACGAGTCGTCAGTGAAGCACTTGTTCCGGAAGTGTTCGAACGTCAGCAGTTGTGAGTCGTGTGGAAACCGTTTTTCATTCATAAACAGCTGGGGGGGTTGCCGGGTGCATGGAATGGACTTTGAGTCTTTGTTTGGAGGACGGACTGCAGTCAGACCCGCATCATGTTTTAACACTATATAAATGTTTCGGTGACTGATCTATACAACGAACCACCCTTTAGAACGACCACTCTAGTCCACTGTTAAGCATGAATTATCCTATGTTGGTGGCCTGATTTCTCGGATATATATATTATATATGTATATATAAATATATATACATTATATATGTATATATAAATATATATACATTATATATGTATATATAAATATATATACATTATATATGTATATATAAATATATATACATTATATATGTATATATAAATATATATACATTATATATGTATATATAAATATATATACATTATATATGTATATATAAATATATATATATTATATATGTATATATAAATATATATACATTATATATATATATATATAATTCTGAATTAATTCTTGTGTAGATTTTATCGAGGCCTTGTACGTTAAAGTCTTTGATAAAATGACATACTCCACTTTAGATAATTAAATGAAAATTTAGATATTTTTTAACCCCCAAAAATTGCTTCTAATGTCAAATGCTGCATTAAAAACTGTACAACGGTGGAGATGAGAATGAACAATAAAACGAAGCCGTTTGGGCGCGTCCCCAGAGGTCACCGGGGTCCACACAGACACACCAATGAACAAGCTAGTTGGCAGCCAGTCAGCAATCAACCAATGAAAACCGGGAAAATAGGTCGCCGAGTCACGGCGATTGGCGGAAACATGCGCCGCGCGGAGTGCTTAAAGCCAGCCACAACAGGCTAAAGGTTCCACGGGTGCAGTAACACAGCCATTACCGGCAATTTGGGGCGTGCTCCCGACAGACGACGGTATTTGACCTGTGACCCAGGTCACGGGGGTAATAGCGACCCGTGAAGACAGCGAGCACAATATACAAGCAGAAAGTTCAACGCCTGTTATTTTAACCCTAACGTTGGCGCCTTTTTTGGGGCGTGTCTCTCAGCGATTGTCTGGTAGAAAGTTGACTGAGCAACTCTGGGGCCAGATTCACGAAGCAGTTACGCAAGCACTTACGAACCTGGGGCCAGATTCACGAAGCAGTTACGCAAGCACTTACGAACGTGTACATCTTTCCTCAATCTTTGACGGCTTTGGTTACATTTATTAAACAGTTTACAAGCATGAAAACTTGCCAATCAACTGTTGTTATTGTTATAAACAGCCTCCTGGTGCTTCGGAGCACTTAGATTCACGAAGCAATTACGCAACTACTTACGAACCTGGGGCCAGATTCACGAAGCAGTTACGCAAGCACTTACGAACCTGGGACCAGATTCAGGAAGCAATTACGCAAGCACTTACGAACGTGTACATCTTTCCTCAATCTTTGACGGCTTTGGTTACATTTATTAAACAGTTTACAAGCATGAAAACTTGCCAATCAACTGTCGTTATTGTTATAAACAGCCTCCTGGTGCTTCGGAGCTCATTAACTGTTTAATAATTGTAAACAAAGCCGTCAAAGATTGAGGAAAGATGTACACGTTCGTAAGTGCTTGCGTACCTGCTTTCGTGAATCTGGCCCCAGGTTCGTAAGTACTTGCATAACTGCTTTCGTGAATCTGGCCCCAGGTTCGTAAGTACTTGCATAACTGCTTCGTGAATCTGGCCCCAGGTTCGTAAGTACTTGCATAACTGCTTTCGTGAATCTGGCCCCACTCCGCTGCGTCCTACCTTGCGTCATGACAGCAATTAACCTAATGATGGTGTTTTTCCCACGTAGCTTATTTTCACCGCGCTGGGCAGAGAGAAAAGGGGAAGGAGGAGAGTGTAGGGTAAATAGGGAAGGGGGAAGTTAAAGAAAAAGGGAAATTGAAGGGAGTTTCAATGGACCCTACACTTGCCTTACTCCCCATAGGCAAGAGACTGATAACATATACTTAAAATACACACACATACAATTCATACTCACAGGTGTATTCCTCAGTGTATCTACACTGCCAGTATACTTCAGACAGTGCAATATATAGACACTGATATACCACATCTTAACGGCCCTTATTGATGTACTTGAAATAAGTTTATTGAGGTAAAATACACATAAAGGGATGAGGTAGCTTAAGCTATTCTCACCTCGTTCAGTACATCATGTTAATACATATATACACACACATTACAATCAACATATTAGCGAACATTCTCAGTGATAAACATACATTTCCTCCTTTACATATTAATATGTTATCAGACATACACACATACTTGTATGACTTGGTGTATAGACTATTTACAATAGACATTCAGACAATTTAACAAAAGGTTACAATCTTAGTGTCTAGTGTATTACTACACTTGTCCAATATACCACCACACCTGTCCAATATACCACCACACCTGCCCAAAATATATCACCACACCTGTCTAATATATCCCCCACACCTGTCCAATATATCACTACACCTGTCCAATATACCACCACACCTGTCCAATATATCCCCCACACCTGCCCAATATATCACCACACCTGCCCAATATACCACCACACCTGTCCAATATATCCCCCACACCTGCCCAATATATCACCAATCCTGCCCAATATACCACCACACCTGTCCAATATATCCCCCACACCTGTCCAATATATCCCCCACACCTGCCCAATATATCACTACACCTGTCCAATATATCCCCCACACCTGCCCAATATATCACCACACCTGTCCAATATATATCACCACACCTGCCCAATATATATCACCACACCTGCCCAAAATATATCACCACACCTGTCCAATATATATCACCACACCTGTCCAATATATATCACCACACCTGCCCAATATATATCACCACACCTGCCCAATATATATCACCACACCTGCCCAAAATATATCACCACACCTGTCCAAAATATATCACCACACCTGTCCAATATATCACCACACCTGTCCAATATATATCACCACACCTGCCCAATATATATCACCACACCTGCCCAATATATATCACCACACCTGTCCAAAATATATCACCACACCTGCCCAATATATATCACCACACCTGCCCAATATATATCACCACACCTGTCCAAAATATATCACCACACCTGCCCAATATACCACCACACCAGCCCAATATATCACCCACACCTGCCCAAAATATATCACTACACCTGCCCAATATATCACCACACCTGCCCAATATATCCCCACACCTGCCCAATATATCACCCACACCTGCTCAATATATCACCACACCTGCCCAAATATACCACCACACCTGCCCAATATACCACCACACCTGCTCAATATATCACCACACCTGCCCAATATATCACCACACCTGCCCAAAATATATCACCACACCTGTCCAATATATCCACCACACCTGTCCAATATATCCACCACACCTGTCCAATGTACCACCACACCTGTCCAATATATCACCACACCTGCCCAATATATCACCACACCTGCCCAATATATCACCACACCTGTCCAATATATCACCACACCTGTCCAATATATCCACCACACCTGCCCAATATATCCACCACACCTGCCCAATATATCACCACACCTGTCCAATATATCCACCACACCTGCCCAATATATCACCACACCTGTCCAATATATCCACCACACCTGCCCAATATATCACCACACCTGCCCAATATATCACTACACCTGCCCAATATATCACCACACCTGCCCAATATATCACCACACCTGCCCAATATATCACCACACCTGTCCAATATATCTACCACACCTGCCCGATATTCCACCACACCTGCCCAAAATATATCACCACACCTGTCCAATATATCCACCACACCTGTCCAATAAATCACCACACTTGTCCAATATATCCACCACACCTGCCCAATATATCCACCACACCTGCCCAATATATCACCACACCTGTCCAATATATCCACCACACCTGCCCAATATATCACCACACCTGCCCAATATATCACCACACCTGCCCAATATATCCACCACACCTGCCCAATATATCCACCACACCTGCCCAATATATCACCACACCTGCCCAATATATCCACCACACCTGCCCAATATATCACCACACCTGCCCAATATATCACCACACCTGCCCAATATATCACCACACCTGCCCAATATATCCACCACACCTGCCCAATATATCACCACACCTGCCCAATATATCCCCCACACCTGCCCAATATATCACCACACCTGTCCAATATATCCACCACACCTGCCCAATATATCACCACACCTGTCCAATATATCCACCATACCTGTCCAATATATCCACCATACCTGCCCAATATATCACCACACCTGCCCAATATATCACCACACCTGCCCAATATATCCACCACACCTGCCCAATATATCACTACACCTGCCCAATATATCCACCACACCTGTCCAATATATCCACCACACCTGTCCAATATATCACCACACCTGTCCAATATATCACCACACCTGCCCAATATATCACCACACCTGCCCAATATATCACCACACCTGCCCAATATATCACCACACCTGCCCAATATTCCACCACACCTGCCCAATATATCACCACACCTGCCCAATATTCCACCACACCTGCCCAATATATCACCACACCTGCCCAATATATCACCACACCTGCCCAATATATCACCACACCTGCCCAATATATCACCACACCTGCCCAATATATCACCACACCTGCCCAATATATCCACCACACCTGCCCAATATATCACCACACCTGCCCAAATATACCATATCACCGTTAATATAATCATAGTATTTTTCAAACAAGTTTTCCAACAGAAAAATAACACCTAAAAAGCAATATTTTGTTCCGAAAATATAAATGTTTTCGCTGGCGACATCCTGCAGCGTTGCCACATCTATCTTCAGCCAACGAATATAATTCCTAACGAGAAACGCGTTGCCAAATATTCAAATCAACCTTCGAGTCAACTACAACAACGAGAACGCGAACGACAAAGTTCTGAGCTGGAAGAAAAACAGTTTATTTTCCTTTTAAACAGCCTAATTTGGCGCAAGTTTGCCCAGTTTGGCAACACCGTGGAGATGTAACCATGGCAACGACGTCCCTGCGCACCCCTGTGCTATAACCCCCCCTACCCCTTCAGACGCCATTATTTCTCAACTTTGACTCCTAATGCACCCAATCATTAGATTCATATTCCCATAACCGTCAGTGTCTGGAGCGGGAATCTGGAATACTATTACACTTCCAAGTTCAGATTTCAGGAAACGCGCCGTAGAGGCGAATCAGGCGGTGGTGTGGTGGGTAATTTGAGCCTTATGCTACGAGTGTCCAAGGGCGGAGTTTGTGTGTTCAAGTCTGGTGTTGTGAGACTGTCTTCCATCTTCTTCCCTTGGCTAATTCTGCCTGGGCATTATTCCTTCATTTACTCTACATTGTGAGGCGGATAATAGCAGCAAATCACTACAGAGCGAGGCAGAGAGTGAGAAGAGTGGGGGGGGGGGAAAGAGAGGGGGAGAGAGAGAGGGGGGAGAGGGGAGAGAGTCAGAGAGAGAGGGTGTGGGGGGGAGAGAGAGGGGGGAGAGGGAGAGAGTCAGAGAGAGAGGGTGTGGGGAGAGAGAGAGAAAAAGGAGAGAGAGAGAGAAAAAGGAGAGAGAGAGAGAGAAAAAGGAGAGAAAAAAAGGAGAGAGGGAGGGAGAGAGAGGGAGGGAGAGAGAGGGAGAGGGAGAGAAAGGGACAAGGAGAGAAAGGAGACAGAAAAAGGAGAGAGAAAAGGGAGAGAGAGAATTAGAAACAATTGGTAGCCTAACTACCACTTTATAATTACCAGTGACCTCAACCAGTATCTCAGACAAAAGGGATTTTGATAAACTCTTAGCAGATTTCAACCTCAAAAATATATATCAACCTGATATGTTTCCAGCCCACATATCAGGCTCGTCCCTCGACCCTGTCGTAACTGACCTTCCTGCAAGCATAGTTCACTACACACCTCTGAGATATGTTTACGGGCCGCAGGTTTAGAACGCATTACAGGACAGAGAACTGAGAAGTGTTCACCTGCCTCCTAGAAGCCCCGTAACAGCACCTAATAGTTAGTAGCCATCCATCAGTCTCAGGAGACTATGGAGTTGCCCTTTGAAGTGGCCTCTCCAGGGCGCAAAGCCACAGTAGGTTGATACGGAGAAGCTGTTACCCATGCAGCAGGTATCCCCCTCTCCACGGCGCTAAAAGTCTCCGAATCAAAGCACAATCGAAACCAAGTACACACACACAGTAATCACACATAGGTTCGATCCCACAACACTGCTCCTACGGATTTTCTCACCAAGCAACAAGGCTTTTGGTGTCCACAGATGATTAAGACGTTTTGAAATCTTAGGAGAACTTCCTGACCTTCTAACCTACCAGAAGACCCTTAACTTAGAGTTTTGGACAAATCTATTTGGAAAATTGGTTTTCAATTATTTTTCATTTTTAAATTACGGCCTTTTTTTTGTGGTTGTGGCGCATACGAGCCAAAAGCGACGTAATTTGTAAGAGATGTTGGTTTGGTACAACAATTATAATTTAGTGTGGTGTTTGGTAGCCTAATTAAAATTTTAAGTGATGTTTGGTAGCCTAATTATAATTTAAAGTGGTGTTTGTTAACCAAAGACGATACACTACTAATTAAGAGTGTTGACTAAGGGTAATACCGTCACAACACAGTCATTAACATGAAGCAGAATTAACCAGGTGTGAGACGCAGGCTGTGTCATTAAGGACAATTACCAACACTAATGATTTAAAACACTTCCCCCCCCCTCAGGCCACTCCCATCATGTTGACAACCAGAAAAAGTAATTCTAATCCCTTCTCCGTTCTCTTAAAACTATAACATCTTAGATACTCCTGAAGGAAAGTTGCAAAATTATCCCGAACGCAATAAAATAATAAAAGAAATACATTTCAACTAAGTATATGCAGAGCACGAGCAAATAGGCTATCAGTGGTGCTGCTAACTACAAATATCATAACTGAATCTGGATGAAGAATGATAATGTTCAAAATACCCGAATCTGCCCGAAACGCTGCGCGTACTAGTGGCTTTACAAGACTGTAATTACCATATTATGTATCATCACATTCCCAATGTACCTTCTTGTGTATGCATAAATAAATACCATGTCTCCTATATCCGTTTATAGTTAGCATTGTTAATGTATAGTGAGGGAGATTATGGATCACCTCAGGGTAGCCCATTGGAGCCATCTGACGATGGAATGGTAAGAGGACACGACTCGCCTCCAGAAGGAGACAGAAATTCTTGAGTCCACAGGTCCAGTTCCAGGATGGGACTGGCACAAGTCCACAGGGCGAGGTCCAGTATGGGACTGACACAAGTCCACAGGGCGAGGTCCAGTATGGGACTGGCACAAGTCCACAGGGCGAGGTCCAGTATGGGACTGGCACAAGTCCACAGGGCGAGGTCCAGTATGGGACTGGCACAAGTCCACAGGGCGAGGTCCAGTATGGGACTGGCACAAGTCCACAGCGTGAGGTCCAGTATGGGACTGGCACAAGTCCACAGGTCGAGTTCCAGTATGGGACTGGCACAAGTCCACAGCGTGAGGTCCAGTATGGGACTGGCACAAGTCCACAGGGCGAGGTCCAGTATGGGACTGGCACAAGTCCACAGGGCGAGGTCCAGTATGGGACTGGCACAAGTCCACAGCGTGAGGTCCAGTATGAGACAGCTCACGTAGTGTGAGGAAGAGTGAAGGGTGAGGAAGCAATAAGTGTGTGTGGCAGGTTGGCTGCTCCTACAGAAAGCCACAAAAATACAGAAAGTCACTGACTATGATTGATTAGCGATGGGTAAACTGATAGCCGATTTTCAAGACATAAACACCACAATGTTGTCAAGTTGGCCAGTACCAACTCCAATCTCACCCACACAAAATCTAAACAATTAGGTGTTAACAACAACAGTCTTCAATTTAACAAGTGGCTTTGCACTTAGGATATTGACGCCAGCAATTATAAACACAAATATTTCACTTTTACTCAAAATTTCAGAATAGTAAGAGATTTTTAACAGGATTTTGAGCTTGACACAGTCCGCTCCTTTCTAGATTATAACGCATTTCGATTTTTAAATTAACATTGAAAAAATACGCATTCACTATGAACAGAAACGTGAATTAATGAAAAATATGGTATGCATTGTCTGTTTATCGGCATAATTAAATACAAAACAATGAAAAATTGAATATACCCACAGTTGCTTACAGTGGAATGAATCAGGTTATCCACTTTAATACAAGGAAAGCTATAAGTGGAAATTGAACATATTTTTAACCTGATAATTACTAAACAAACTAAATAAGAAATTGTTTAAACACGTTCCATATTTTAATATAATTTTTCAACATATTTTTAACCTGATAATTACTAAAACTAAATAAGAAATTGTTTAAACATGTTTCATATTTTAATACAATTTTTCAAAGTCATTTGACAATAATAAACTTGTGGCCAGAACTAACACCACAAAATTCCCAGGTAACAGATAATTAAGACATTGTGATTAAGCAGCCATCAAACCATCTTCATAAATAATAATAACTCATCATCTAAGCCCCCAAACCACTGTCAAGTCAAACCTAATGCCTTTACAACATTACTGTAAACTCAATCAAGAGTATACAACCCAAGTCAGCATTCGTTAAGCATTTACGCAATCCCTTACGAAAGCTGTACATCATTCTTGAATCATACCTGCTTTGTTTACATTTATCCAACAGAGTACTATAAGGTTGTTTATAACAACCACCACAACCTTGGGTTGTGAAATTTCGAAGTTCAAGCTGTTAAATAACTGAAAACAAAGCCGCCACGACTGTTGAAAGATGTACAGGTTTCTGTATGTTTCTTAGACAAAATATATATCTATATATGGCTTAGTAGACAACTGACTGCCCGAGTAGCTTAAACTACACCACCATTTATCAGACCTGTACACACATTTCTTTTAACCAATTCTGATTCAATCAATCAGAGTTAATTTGACGAGTTTTATTCATATTTAACACAAAATAGAACATACGGTCAACTGATTTATGCTGCTTTCACTGGGAATGAATTTTAAGCACCTCCAAATTATCAATTAGGCTATGCAAATCTTTGCTATTCTCACCTACAAAATAACTCACGTAATGGTTAATTTGATTACATAAAAAAATTTTCACTCAAGATTTAACAACACTGAACAAAACACATACAAAAGGAATACTGCACTTATAAAACCAAATGGTTTTGTAAATAAATGAACAAATACAAACTATAACTTTTTGCTATGAAACAAAGATGGTCAAAAAAATTGTAATTGAATCAAAATACGCTAAACACAACGGCAAGATTAAATTTTTTAAAGCTTAACGCCCTCAAAAATAATTAAGTGATTACATAAACTTGCAACCCAAAAAAAAACAAAAAAAATGTAACAATGATCATCTATATATCATTATAGATACGGCTATGTACACATGGCTATTCGCTGCCACTAAGTTCTTCACTAATATGAAATATATCGTCAATTCGGTACACAACCACTCACACCACAGTATATTTGAGGAGTTATGGAGTGGCGACGGCTGTAATGGTACTCCACATTCACCACACAATGGTATCCTACATTCCAGACTAAATTATATAGTCTAGAAACTCCTGGTAAATACAAACATTCTGAATACCCCCGCTCACAAACACACACAAACACACCTTGAACACGCAAATATTCCTTTAGTGATATATTGCGTTAGTAAAGTTGCTATACTCAGCAATATTGGTGGACTTGAGTGCATACAGCTCCTCGCTTGTGAGTTATAATACATTCCCCATTAAAGATGAAACTAAAAAGATAATTGGGACAAATTTGAAAGATAAAAGTCAAAATCTCTGTATAAACACGTCACTAATGGGCAAAATTAGGCAAAACTGACTGTCATCACATGTTTGTTTGTCAAAATTGAGTTCAATCACAGTACAATCTTCTGCGACTGGTCCTGTAGAACTGTGAGATCAAGTGTGTTGAAGTCACTCTGGTCATTGTCCTCGTCCTCACTGTTGACGATGGGAAAGCCTTCCTCGTCACAGTCCTCAGTCTGCGCCAGCAGTGACATAGGGTTGACCAACATGGTGGAGGCAGTGCCGGCACTGCTGTGGGAGGCTGGGGTCTTGTCCGAAAGACAACTGGGGGATAACTGCAGGTGATTCAGGGGGTTATCATAGGCACTGTTTATGTGGTGTTGAAGGTAGTTAGACTGGTAAGGCGAACTGTTGAAAATGTAGCTCTCGTTATCGTCGTAAAGACTTTGGTCATACTGCGATGGTCGCAAGACATAGGCGTAGCCTAGCGCTGAGTTATCCACCTCCTCGTCCTTTTTGATATCTTGTCTGGCTTCAGCGAATTGTTGATTGTCATTATCACCTGAGTGGCCAGGACGTGAAAAATGGGATGCTTGCGTCGCATGGTTCCCCGCCGACTGGTGGCCAGATACAAAATGCGAGCCGGAATAGGCTCCCGCACAGAAATTGGCTGCTCGTGGGGAGTCATTTGCCTTGTCTAGAGTGCCGGATAGTGGCACGTTTGACCCACTTCCTAATGAATCTTCAAGGGACTCGTACTCCATTTTACTGATAGTGTATGTATGCATGTTAATACTAGACAGATTTGCGGATTCTGTTTTGCATTGAACAGGTTCACATGATGAACTAATGTGCGTTTTCAGTAAAGGGTTTGCAGTAATTGGGTTCTCCATTTGAGTATCAGGAGAGAGGATATGGCGAGAGGGCTGAGGGCTCGGTATATGGCTGGATTCCGCTTCAAGCCGACCAACAGACGACCCATATTGTGAATCAATTTCAAGCTTCGTGGTTTTTTTCTGCTTCTGATTAGTAACATTTCGCTCTGCAATCTTGCTGGAAATCTGTACGACTGGCGAATGGTCCGGCCGAATGGACTCTGGACCATCCCCGGAAATTTTGGTGTTGTGCAGACTAGCATCATTATAGCCAGCTACGTCTAGGTAAGATGACGAGGAATCCAAGTGAATATTTGAAGGAGTAACACTGGTAGTATTAGGACCAGAAGCACCAGCTTGCACACCATTCTCCCCCAGGGCCTGACCTGTCAAGTTAGGTCGTATTGGTGGCACAGCGAGAGGCAACCCGCCTCCATACATCCCTGACAGGGGCAGTGGGTAGCCCTGAAGGGAATAGTAGTTGACAGGCGTCGTATAGGTGCCATAATTGTGGAGGGCGGGCAGTGTATGTGGCTGAGGGCGGGGCGCTGCTGCTGGTGGTGCTCCTCGGCCAGTGTACATCCCACACTTGGCATTCCACCTGCCACTTGGAGACGTTGGCTTCGGCCTGGATGGAGGAGTACATGGCTATTACTTCCACTCAACAAATTTACAATTGTTGACCCCCTTCTCTTTCATGTTGATCACCCCCCCCCCCTCTCTCTCTCTCATGTTAACCTCCCCCTTCTCCCTCTCTCTCTCTATGCTAATCCCCCAACTCAACTCTCTCTCTCATCTTGACCCCCCTCTCAAGTTGACCCCCCCCCACCCACTCTTCATGCTTTACTTATAACCAGTTTTGCGTGACAGATTAAGGAGTGAAGTGCCAAGAGTGATGCAATGAAAGCATATTTATATGTTTAAGAAAAAAGAGATTCATTTCCATAAAAAGATTTATTTGTCCACACTAAACCGTGTTTTGGAATTGTGGGCATGATTATGTCTGTTGGAGACATATTTACTATCAATGTGATTAAATATATGTACAGTACCTTAAATTGTGAACTGGTATATTGGCTGATAAGAGACTTTTGAATATTTTAATGTGAAGAGAGAAATTGTGTAAAAATTTTGCAGACGAGGCTACCAGGAGGCAAAACCGGACGAGTCTATGGACAAATTTACATTAACGTAGGCCTAATTCAGTTATATATATATATAGTAATATATATTTTTGTGATTTAAATGACTGTGATGTATGATTAATCTTTTCAGTAAATGTCACGAAGCTTCATTAAATTATCATTACTCCTTCCTTGGCGTCCATCGGAAGAAGTGGATTTGACTAAAGGTTCCAATACTCTAGCTAGCCCCCAAGTAAGTTTTCAATACTGATCAGACAAAGACAATTTGTGAGGGCAAGAGGAGATTGGGTGGGAGACGCAGCTAAAAGGAGCGACAGAGAACAGCAGGACAAAGCCAACAATGTATGTGTACCGGACTCGGGCAGTTGGATAAAAAGAAAATCAGTTGGAGCTGTGAAGCGGATTCGAACCTATGCGGTGGGTGTTCCCAGGGGCACCTCATCACGTTAGTGTGATTACGCTCCGTGCGTTGGCTAAAGATACTCCCATAACCCGACTGAAGCAGCTATCCTAGAACTATCCTGCAGGTGCAGAGAGAAAGTAGTCGCCCCCTTCCCTAGCTTATGAGAGATTGATTGATGAAGATTAAGCCACCCAAGAGGTGGCACGGGCATGAATAGCCCGTAAGTGGTGGCCCTTTTGAGCCATTACCAGTATCAAAAGATGATACTGGAGATCTGTGGAGGTGCGACTGCACCCTGCGTGACGGGAGATGTCTCCCGGACCAAATGGTGACCAAATGGTGCTTATGAGAGTTTGACTTGCCTTTTTTATATTAATGTGACGTCCACACGCCTTACCTGGTCATTACATTCAAGGGGTTTTTGATCAGAGAAGGGACGCTGCCACCTTACAATAGATTTGGAATTTAAACGTTTCAACACCTTCAGACTTGAAATTAAATTCCTTTGGATACTATCACATACTGGCATCTTAAAGCATGATGCTGTTGACAAAGACAGTCTGTAGTAGACCAGCATAAGAAATTAATGTGGGTATTCCATTAGCAGTGACAGAGAATACTTAAATGAATGTGATTAAAATCTTACTGACCTAATAAATTCACAAAGACCTTAAAACTGGTCTTAAACATTACGATGAATATCGTGAGCAGACATTCATATATGGAACTAATAGAACAAGAACCCGGCAATGTTATAGTGGCCAGAATACGCCTGGGATATAGATGTATCTGGCAGCTTTCTCAACCCCCAAATGTCGAGTACACAATGTGTCAACTTTGTGAAAGAGAAAACATGCACTCACTTGAACATTATATCGTAGAATGTCCCATATTGATTGACTCTCGCCCTCCTGGGCTGAGGTATGCTGAACTCCGTAAATATACTATATGAATACTGGATCACTTTATATATATTATACCCTTCACACCACAACAACCACCCACCACCATAACACCGTCCCACCACAACCACAACCTCCCACCACCACAACAACCTACCACACCACATCGCAACCTACCTGCGCAACAGGTGTCTTCTCTTAGCAGGAGGCGGGGAAGGGACATCATCCTCGCCATAATCAGGGTCAAGCCTCATGTTGGCTGCCTTCATCAGCTTCTTGTACTTGGACCGTCGGTTCTGGAACCAAATCTTCACCTGCACGAACCAGAACACAATGATTGTTAGGTATTATTACCAGATTACGACAGTCACAAGCCTCGCCTTGTCAAAAAATTAACTAAAAACGAGAACAAATCAAGAATATTTTCAAATGAATCAGTTTCACATGTTCCAAATATTGATGACATTTTAATAGGAAAGCAAAGTGAGAAATCTGCTCTAATATTTTCATCAAGGACCTTGTGGGTGATTAAGGAACATTGCGTGTAATCTAAGCAGCCTTATCATGCACTGAAGACAGTTCTTCATCATGTAATATTACTCAGTCATAATGATTTGTAAGAACTTTAGCTCCTCCCTGGAAACACAAACCGTAACTGTCTCTATTTTCCGCTTGTTACAACTTGTAATAAAGTTGTTACATCTTGGCTTAACGTGTTTATGGCGTATTACAACGTTGTTACAACTTGCTATATTGCTTGTTATAACTGGTTAGGAGGTGTTAAAACTTGTTCGAACGTTGTACCAACGTCGTAGTTTCGGTGTGTGTTTGGCGGGCTGTACCAGGTTAAGTCCACTATGGGCTCACCACAGCCCGTGCTACTTGCAACTTTGTGTTCCCAGGAGCTGAATCTACAACAAGGAGGAGAAGCAGGACTGACCTGTGTCTGTGTGAGAGCCACCATGGCGGCCAGCTCCCCCCGCTCGTGCTGGGCCAAGTACATGGAACGAAGGAACCGTCTATTAAGTTGCTGAAGCTGTTGAACGGTGTAGGAGGAGCGGGCCTTTCTTGTACTCCCTCCACCTCCACTGCTCCCTCCACTTCCTGTACCCTGGTGGCCAGTTATTTATTAATACCATACCACTGTAACACGTATACTTGTTAAGAGGCGGGACCAAAGAGCCAAAGCTCAACCCCCGCAAGCACAACTAGATGAGCACACACATATTCCCTTCCCATTTATCTCCCTCTCTCTCTTCCTCTCTCCTCCTCTCGGATAAAGAAAAGATACAATATGGAAAGGGAAAAAAAGATACACAATAGAGCAAATAGAGAGAAAGAAAACCCAAGAAATTATGAAAATAATAAGTAAAACAATTTTCCTAGCACACGACCATCCTACAGCAGCCCTTGGATATCAGTAACCACAGTTAAACATATGAAAATAAAAATCATTGCTGCAGTTGAGCATGTTCCAGCATCCCCCGAGGACTTTGGAACGCTGCCATAAAGCCACGATTTAAATTCGAGATCACTATACCTATTAAAACACCTCAAGCCTATGCCACCAAGAATAAACAGATTGAAACTACATTGCAGGAAAATCAGCTGAGGTTAAGGGTTGAAGGTTGTTTTAAAACTAAGTTCCCATCCTGATTGATAAAAAGCAGAATTTCATGTTTACAAACTTCCATTCAAACACATCTATTTAGAGAGAGACGAGTCCGATACGATAGGCTAGTGCCGGAGGAAAATGAAATGGAATACTGCGCCATTGTAAGAGTAAGAGGAGAGTAGCTAATTACTCAGAAGAACAGCATAGTCATTATTAAAAGAAGGTACCAAGCCGACAGAACAGAGGTAACAAGTCTTATAAATCTTATTTGCATATATTTTTTTTTTAAACATCTTGTTCTGTACTACTGAAACACTTGTTCACTGAGAATTGTAATGTATAATTACCTTGTAAAACTTATGTATACGTAATTTATATTGTATTTTCTTAAATAAAGATAAGAAAAAAATTCTGTATAATGTCAAATTATTTTGCTTACTAAAGTATACGTACATAAATATTTTGTTAATAGATTAAGCTTTAACATAATAGTTATTATTAAATTGTTGTAAAATCTCCAAGAGTTTCTGGTCATTAAATCTAATAAATTTTTTAGCTTCAATTATGTAAATTACAAAGTATGAGTATAATACTATAATGTTAAGTGAGAAACATTCAGACCAGTGAAGGTTATAAATTATTATTAATGCTTAAATGAACCTAATATTGCCAGGGCGTCCTGTAATTAGTTGAATCAGTTGAACGGTTATGGAAAACTTGCGTAGTTGTTGAATGCCTTGTGGTAGGTTATTGATTATTAAATACAGGACTGGGCACGTACCTGGTGGACACGTACCTGGTGGACACGTACCTGCTGGGCACGTACCTGCTGGGCACGTACCTGCTGGGCACGTACCTGCTGGGCACGTACCTGCTGGGCACGTACCTGCTGGGCTCGTACCTGCTGGGCACGTACCTGCTGGGCACGTACCTGCTGGGCACGTACCTGCTGGGCTCGTACCTGCTGGGCTCGTACCTGCTGGGCACGTACCTGGTGGGCATGATGATGGTGCTTGTACCCATCCGCGCCCAGGAGAGAGTATGGGGGCAGACGCATGGATGGAGAGGTCATGGCGGCGCCTGAGAGCATCATCGACGCTGCTGTTCCTGGAAGCCGTCATGCACAATTAATACAAATTTTGTTGGCCAAACCACACACTAGAATGAAGAGACGACGACGTTTCGGTCCGTCATGGACCATTATCACACTCGACTTGATAATGGTCCAGAACGGACTGAAACGTCGTCTCTTCACTTACTATCGAGACCACCTAAATACGTGACCAACATTATACATTTAATTACTCTTTCCCACTAATTAGTTAACTGATAACACGATTGATCCCTAACTATTCCGCACAAGGCATTAATAGGCTAAAGTAGCTTATTCAAAGTTCACATCAAACACCTTAAAACCTCAGAATGGTCATAAACTAGTGGAAAATGTATCTTCAATATAAAATAGTGAAAACACTGATTAAATCATTACGAATTCACGACATGTATGTAGGACAAAATTTACAGTCACTTGGCAATTAGAATATCAGCAAAATCAGATAACTGAGCAATGAAAAGTGACTACACTTATATATTAAGCGACAGCAAATCATATTCATATTACAGATTCCTACCACGACTGATAATTTTCAACATACGCTGGATAACAAAACATTTAGCCTATTCCAAGATCACCCACATATAAAATTAACATTTCTTATTTCGTATCGACATATTCTAATGTTTTAAAATCACATAGCATATGTGTATCATCCTCTATCTGAACGTGGCTTGTCACTATAATGCAAAATCAATCATCCCTATAGCATCAACACAGTCAAAACTCCCCTAAAATCGATATAAACAGATGCATCTATCCCCCAGGGTATATTTCTATAGCTATATTTAACCCATTTAGCGTCTTAATTCACACAGGTCCTATGTTGTGTTTACCAATATAATATTTACTCAGTAGGGGCCAACTTTTTAAAAGGCAATTTTCCCCCTTCGCTTGCCGCGGCCAGTCCATTAAGAGAAGGGTGTTATTAGCAGGCTGAGCTATGGGCCCGACGCCCCTCCCTGCTTTTAGCCACGGGCTCCCACTGGCCACATGACCTATTTTGGATAGAACTTTTTTACTGTAAATCTTTCATTTTTTTCCCCTGTACTGTATTCGAAATTTGACTTTTACAGTGTGATTTGTTAGTCTTTATAATGTCGACCTGTCCTTTGTTTCAGTAATTCAATGCTTATAAAGTTATTTAATCAAACAGGACATTAAGTAGCCTAACATTTGAGTCTATCGGACCAGACGTGAACTGATGCCAAGTCCTTCAATCAGGGTTAATATATTAAGTCCAAAAACATATAGCGTAAATATTTGAGCCATTTGTAAAGTTATTTACGATAACTTAAAACAAGAATACAATCTATTAGTTAAGAGGACGGACTGGTTGAAGCCAAACGCTGAATCCCATTTCTCTTTGATTTCTACATCTTTCCCATTAATGCCACATCAACACCCTTACATCCACCCCCCATGAATGTAATGGGTTTTCAAAATGACTCAAGACCCTTAATGAAAGCTCTAAGACCTAGTGACAAATTCTACGGTAAATCAAAGAGATACGATATCAATTCAACTTACCAGTTCCCATCATTTGCTGGTACTGGAGTGGTGTGTAGGGGAAGTGTGCTGCTGTTGCTGCTGGCTGCTGCAGTCCGTGTTGTGGAAACGTTGGCTGTTGTGCTGTACTCGACTGCTGTTTCTGCAAAGACCGTTGGTCCTGCTGTGCAGCCTGTTGCTGATGATACGAGGCCTGCTGCAAGGCCTGCTGTAGGTGTGAAGCCTGCTGCAAGGCTTGCTTCTGGTGTGAAGCCTGCAGCATAGCCTGCTGCATGGCCTGCTGCAACGCCTGCTGCTGCTCCGAGGTCTGCTTCCGCTGCTGCTGCAGTGTTTGTCTGTATAAGGCTTGCTGCTGGTGGTACAGAGAGGCCTGAGGTTGCAGGTCCTGCTGCTGCTGCTGCTGTGACGCCTGCGGCTGCAGGTCCTCGTGTTGCTGTGCGGCCTGTGGCTGCACGGTCTCATGCTGTTGCAGCTGTGAAGCCTTCGGCTGCAGGTCCTCATACTGTTGGTGCTGCTGCTGCTGCAGCTGTGAAGCCTTCGGCTGCAGGTCTTCATACTGTTGGTGCTGCTGCTGTTGCAGCTGTGAAGCCTTCGGCTGCAGGTCCTCATACTGTTGGTGCTGCTGCTGTTGCAGCTGTGAAGCCTTCGGCTGCAGGTCCTCATACTGTTGGTGCTGCTGCTGTTGCAGCTGTGAAGCCTTCGGCTGCAGGTCCTCATACTGTTGGGGCTGCTGCTGCAGCTGTGAAGCCTTCGGCTGCAGGTCCTCATACTGTTGGGGCTGCTGTTGCAGCTGTGAAGCCTTCGGCTGCAGGTCCTCATACTGTTGGTGCTGCTGCTGTTGCAGCTGTGAAGCCTTCGGCTGCAGGTCCTCATACTGTTGGTGCTCCTGCTGTTGCAGCTGTGAAGCCTTCGGCTGCAGGTCTTCATACTGTTGGGGCTGCTGCTGTTGCAGCTGTGAAGCCTTCGGCTGCAGGTCCTCATACTGTTGGTGCTGCTGCTGCTGCAGCTGTGAAGTCTTTGGCTGCAGGTCCTCATACTGTTGATGCTGTGAGACCTGTGGCTGCAGGTCTTGGTGCTGCTGTGGCAGGTCCTGGTGCTGCTGTGGCAGGTCCTGGTGCTGCTGTGGCAGGTCCTGGTGCTGCTGTGGCAGGTCCTGGTGCTGCTGTGGCAGGCCCTGGTGCTGCTGTGGCAGGCCCTGGTGCTGCTGTGGCAGGCCCTGGTGCTGCTGTGGCAGGCCCTGGTGATGCTGTGGCAGGCCCTGGTGATGCTGTGGCAGGCCCTGGTGATGCTGTGGCAGGCCCTGGTGATGCTGTGACAGGCCCTGGTGATGCTGTGGCAAGTCCTGATGCTGCTGTGGCAGGCCCTGGTGCTGCTGTGGCAGGTCCTGGTGCTGCTGTGGCAGGTCCTGATGCTGCTGTGGCAGGTCCTGGTGCTGCTGTGGCAGGTCCTGATGCTGCTGTGGCAGGTCCTGATGCTGCTGTGGCAGGTCCTGATGCTGCTGTGGCAGGTCCTGATGCTGCTGTGGCAGGTCCTGATGCTGCTGTGGCAGGTCCTCGTGCTGCTGTGGCAGGTCCTCGTGCTGCTGTGGCAGGTCCTGGTGCTGCTGTGGCAGGTCCTGGTGCTGCTGTGGCAGGTCCTGGTGCTGCTGTGGCAGGTCCTGGTGCTGCTGTGGCAGGTCCTGGTGCTGCTGTGGCAGGTCCTGGTGCTGCTGTGGCAGGTCCTGGTGCTGCTGTGGCAGGTCCTGATGCTGCTGTGGCAGGTCCTGGTGCTGCTGTGGCAGGTCCTGGTGCTGCTGTGGCAGGTCCTGGTGCTGCTGTGGCAGGTCCTGGTGCTGCTGTGGCAGGTCCTGGTGCTGCTGTGGCAGGTCCTGATGCTGCTGTGGCAGGTCCTGATGCTGCTGTGGCAGGTCCTGATGCTGCTGTGGCAGGTCCTGATGCTGCTGTGGCAGGTCCTGGTGCTGCTGTGGCAGGTCCTGGTGCTGCTGTGGCAGGTCCTGGTGCTGCTGTGGCAGGCCCTGGTGCTGCTGTGGCAGGTCCTGGTGCTGCTGTGGCAGGCCCTGGTGCTGCTGTGGCAGGTCCTGGTGCTGCTGTGGCAGGTCCTGGTGCTGCTGTGGCAGGTCCTGGTGCTGCTGTGGCAGGTCCTGGTGCTGCTGTGGCAGGCCCTGGTGCTGCTGTGGCAGGCCCTGGTGCTGCTGTGGCAGGCCCTGGTGCTGCTGTGGCAGGTCCTGGTGCTGCTGTGGCAGGCCCTGGTGCTGCTGTGGCAGGTCCTGGTGCTGCTGTGGCAGGTCCTGGTGCTGCTGTGGCAGGTCCTGGTGCTGCTGTGGCAGGTCCTGGTGCTGCTGTGGCAGGTCCTGGTGCTGCTGTGGCAGGTCCTGGTGCTGCTGTGGCAGGTCCTGGTGCTGCTGTGGCAGGTCCTGGTGCTGCTGTGGCAAGCCCCGATGCTGCTCCTGCAGCAGCAGCTGTGAAACCTTCTGTGGCAAGCCCCGATGCTGCAGCTGTGAAACCTTCTGAGGCTTGTCCTGTTGATGATACTGCTGCTGTTGTTGTAGGTCCTGTAGACGATGCTGCTCGGCCTGCTGCTGTTGCTGTAGGTCCTGTAGACGATGCTGCTCGGCCTGCTGCTGTTGCTGTAGGTCCTGTAGACGATGCTGCTCGGCCTGCTGCTGTTGCTGTAGGTCCTGTAGACGATGCTGCTCGGCCTGCTGCTGTTGCTGTAGGTCCTGTAGACGATGCTGCTCGGCCTGCTGCTGTTGCTGTAGGTCCTGTAGACGATGCTGCTCGGCCTGCTGCTGTTGCTCGGCCTGATCTTGGGGACACAGGTCCTGGGAGTGTGTGGGGACCTTCGCCATCTCTTGGTTCGTGCGGTCCGGCACCTCAGCAGTGTTGTCATTCATTACACCTCCTGAAGAAATGTAATATTCAACATTGGTCACAGTTCATAACACAATTTAAATAAATAAATGTTTATTTAGGTAAGGTACATACATACAAGAAATTTTTACAAAGATTGGTTGACTTATAGATAGAGCTAGTACATACAATGCCTAAAGCCACTATTACGCAAAGCGTTTCGGGCATGAAAAACTTAAATGACTAAAGCTTAATACTAATTAAGCATAAAGATTACACACACACAAACTGTGTGCCCAAATGAGCCACAGAGATATTAGAAAGAACTTTTTTAGTGTCAGAGTGGTTGACAAATGGAATGCATTAGGGGATGATGTGGTGGAGGCTGACTCCATACACAGAAATTTGAAAGATGACAAGTCCAATCCCTAAATCTATAATGTGTGAAATCCCAACTTAAAGGTTTGTCAAGTAGCTAAAGAGGTTAGAAACCCTTAGCGCTTTCCCCCGATAATTAAATATTAAAATTAACTTTGTTTCCAGAAATATTATCTTGAGGATTCTACAATAATAAAGCAAGCCTAACAAATATCGTACACATGTAGCTTATCCTACGATTCAAACAAAGGAATGTATTATTTTTATTTTACATTTCCTCTTCTATATTTTGTAATAAAAAAAAAATACAGGAGGGGGTCTGCAATGACTTCCTGTCGACTGCAAACCTGCATGCAATCCTTCAGGGTGAACTACAGGTTATCAGAAATCCGGTTAAATTATAGCACAAGGAGATAAATTATGACATGGAGGAAGTTAATTAGAGGAATATAAAACATATAAGAGCCAATAATGAGGCTTTAATTACCGGTGCTCTCATTCTATTAATTAAACCCACTAGATACAAAAAGCCTAACGCTAGCAACAAAGCTTGCATGCGCGCGCAGGAAGAAACTGTTGCCTGTTGACTTATTTCTAATTTCTAATTTTCTCCTTGCGAATGTCTAAACAATTCTCCACCCAACCCTCTCAAACACAGGAAATGTATATGGTTTATCTCTCAGAATGTTTGGTAATATGTTTATTGTTTGTGATGTGTTTATATGTATGTATTAACACGATGTACTGAACGGGGTGAGAATAGCTTGAGCTACCTCATCCCTTTGTGTGTATTTTACCTCAATAAACTTATTTCAATTTCAATTTCAATCTCTCAAACACCACCTCACATAGACGTCATAATTCCCAGTGAAGGTTAGGTTAGTAGGTCTCACGCGTCTCGGTACATCGTTTTAAGTCCGTTGTGGCAACAGGATTAGTATTGGGCAGTTATGGGGAGCGGTGCGAAGGGGAGATGGGGTTAGGTGCAATTGAGGATTGGAAAAAGGTGCAAACTTTAGGGGGGAGGTAGGAACGTAGAGGGGTGGGGTGGAGGTAGGTACAAAAGTAAGGGGGGGAGGGTGGAGGTAGGGACAAAAGTAAGGGGGGAAAGGTGGAGGTAGTGACAAAAGTAGAGGGGAAGGGGGTGGAGGTAGGGACAAAAGTAAGGGGGTGGAGGTAGGGACAAAAGTAAGGGGGGTTGGAGGTAGGGACAAAAGTAAGGGGGGTTGGAGGTAGGGACAAAAGTAAGGGGGGTTGGAGGTAGGGACAAAAGTAAGGGGGGTTGGAGGTAGGGACAAAAGTAGGGGGGGGTGGAGGTAGGGACAAAAGTAAGGGGGGTTGGAGGTAGGGACAAAAGTAAGGGGGGTTGGAGGTAGGGACAAAAGTAAGGGGGGTTGGAGGTAGGGACAAAAGTAAGGGGGGTTGGAGGTAGGGACAAAAGTAAGGGGGGTTGGAGGTAGGGACAAAAGTAAGGGGGGTTGGAGGTAGGGACAAAAGTAGGGGGGGGTGGAGGTAGGGACAAAAGTAAGGGGGGTTGGAGGTAGGGACAAAAGTAAGGGGGGTTGGAGGTAGGGACAAAAGTAGGGGGGGGTGGAGGTAGGGACAAAAGTAGAGGGGGAGGGGGTGGAGGTAGGTACAAAAGTAAGGGGGGTTGGAGGTAGGGACAAAAGTAAGGGGGGAGTGGAGGTAGGTACAAAAGTAAGGGGGGGTGGAGGTAGGGACAAAAGTAAGGGGGGGTGGAGGTAGGGACAAAAGTAAGGGGGGGTGGAGGTAGGGACAAAAGTAGGGGGGGGGGGGTGGAGGTAGGGACAAAAGTAAGGGGGGTTGGAGGTAGGGACAAAAGTAAGGGGGGTTGGAGGTAGGGACAAAAGTAGGGGGGGTGGAGGTAGGGACAAAAGTAGAGGGGGAGGGGGTGGAGGTAGGTACAAAAGTAAGGGGGGTTGGAGGTAGGGACAAAAGTAAGGGGGGAGTGGAGGTAGGTACAAAAGTAAGGGGGGGTGGAGGTAGGGACAAAAGTAAGGGGGGGGTGGAGGTAGGGACAAAAGTAAGGGGGGGTGGAGGTAGGGACAAAAGTAAGGGGGGGTGGAGGTAGGGACAAAAGTAAGGGGGGGTGCAGGTAGGGACAAAAGTAAGGGGGGTGGAGGTAGGGACAAAAGTACGGGGGGGGGTGGAGGTAGGGACAAAAGTAAGGGGGGGGTGGAGGTAGGGACAAAAGTAAGGGGGGTGGAGGTAGGGACAAAAGTAAGGGGGGGGTGGAGGTAGGTATAAAAGTAAGGGGGGGTGGAGGTAGGTACAAAAGTAGGGGGGGTGGAGGTAGGTACAAAGGTAGGGGGGTTGGAGGTAGGTACAAAAGTAGGGGGGTGGAGGTAGGTACAAAAGTAGGGGGGTGGAGGTAGGTACAAAAGTAGGGGGGGTGGAGGTAGGTACAAAGGTAGGGGGGGTGGAGGTAGGTACAAAAGTAGGGGGGGTGGAGGTAGGTACAAAAGTAGGGGGGTGGAGGTAGGTACAAAGGTAGGGGGGGGGGAAGAGGTAGGTACAAAAGTAGGGGGGGGGTGGAGGTAGGTACAAAAGTAGGGGGGTGGAGGTAGGGACAAAAGTAGGGGGGGTGGAGGTAGGTACAAAAGTAGGGGGGTGGAGGTAGGTACAAAAGAAGGGGGGGTGGAGGTAGGTACAAAAGTAGGGGGGTGGAGGTAGGTACAAAAGTAGGGGGGGTGGAGGTAGGTACAAAAGTAGGGGGGGTGGAGGTAGGTACAAAAGTAGGGGGGGTGGAGGTAGGTACAAAAGTAGGGGGGGTGGAGGTAGGTACAAAAGTAGGGGGGGTGGAGGTAGGTACAAAAGTAGGGGGGTGGAGGTAGGTACAAAAGTAGGGGGGTGGAGGTAGGGACAAAAGTAAGGGGGGGAAGAGGTAGGTACAAAAGTAGGGGGGTGGAGGTAGGTACAAAGGTAGGGGGGGGTGGAGGTAGGAACAAAGGTAGGGGGGGTGGAGGTAGGGACAAAAGTAAGGGGGGGTGGAGGTAGGTACAAAAGTAGGGGGGGTGGAGGTAGGTACAAAAGTAGGGGGGTGGAGGTAGTTACAAAAGTAGGGGGGGTGGAGGTAGGTACAAAAGTAGGGGGGGGGGAAGAGGTAGGTACAAAAGTAGGGGGGGGGAAGAGGTAGGTACAAAAGTAGGGGGGTGGAGGTAGGTACAAAGGTAGGGGGGGGTGGAGGTAGGTACAAAAGTAGGGGGGTGGAGGTAGGTACAAAAGTAGGGGGGTGGAGGTAGGTACAAAAGTAGGGGGGTGGAGGTAGGTACAAAAGTAGGGGGGTGGAGGTAGGTACAAAAGTAGGGGGGTGGAGGTAGGTACAAAAGTAGGGGGGGTGGAGGTAGGTACAAAAGTAGGGGGGTGGAGGTAGGTACAAAAGTAGGGGGGGGTGGAGGTAGGTACAAAAGTAGGGGGGGGTGGAGGTAGGTACAAAAGTAGGGGGGTTGGAGGTAGGGACAAAAGTAAGGGGGGTGGAGGTAGGTACAAAAGTAGGGGGTGGAGGTAGGTACAAAAGTAGGGGGGGAAGAGGTAGGTACAAAAGTAGGGGGTGGAGGTAGGTACAAAAGTAGGGGGGTGGAGGTAGGTACAAAAGTAGGGGGGTGGAGGTAGGTACAAAAGTAGGGGGGGTGGAGGTAGGTACAAAAGTAGGGGGGTGGAGGTAGGTACAAAAGTAGGGAGGGGGTGGAGGTAGGTACAAAAGTAGGGGGGGGGGTGGAGGTAGGTACAAAGGTAGGGGGGGGGTGGAGGTAGGTACAAAGGTAGGGGGGGTGGAGGTAGGTACAAAAGTAGGGGGGTGGAGGTAGGTACAAAAGTAGGGGGGGTGGAGGTAGGTACAAAAGTAGGGGGGTGGAGGTAGGTACAAAAGTAGGGGGGTGGAGGTAGGTACAAAAGTAGGGGGGGTGGAGGTAGGTACAAAAGTAGGGGGGTGGAGGTAGGTACAAAAGTAGGGGGGTGGAGGTAGGTACAAAAGTAGGGAGGGGGTGGAGGTAGGTACAAAAGTAGGGGGGGGGGTGGAGGTAGGTACAAAGGTAGGGGGGGGGTGGAGGTAGGTACAAAGGTAGGGGGGGTGGAGGTAGGTACAAAAGTAGGGGGGTGTGGAGGTAGGTACAAAAGTAGGGGGGTGGAGGTACCATTTAAAGAATAATAAATAACACATTTAGGGGTTTAAAGTTCATGTTCTGTGACAATATGAAACACTTGTTTACTGACAATTATACTACTGTATATGTAATGTAGTATTTCATTGTAAAAGTGATGTATATGATTCATATTGTATATTAAAGATAACAAAAACTGACCCGAGGTTTAATTCCTTTAGTCTTTCCTAACAACCAACCCCTGACAAAGGATAGACGATTGGTCACAACATTTAACTATTCACCCAGCAGTTGAATGGACATAACAAAGGGGATATTAATAGGGTATTAAAAGTATCAACACAAGACAGAACACGAAACAATGGGTATAAATTGGATAATTTTAGATTTAGGAAAGACTTGGGTAAATACTGGTTCAGTAACAGGGTTGTTGATTTGTGGAACCAATTGCCGCGTAACATTGTGGAGGTGGGGTCCCTCGATTGTTTCAAGCGCGGGTTGGACATGTATGTGAGTGGGATTGGGTGGTTATAAATACGAGCTGC